CGTCTTCCAGAGCATCACGCCAGTAGAAATAGATATGATTGTAGGAAAAGACCGGGAAGGCTCAACGGTTTGACTCTTGGTGCAAAGAAGTGTTCAGTGATCAGAGATAGTCTATATGTCGATGGCGACTGCACAATGGACATCCGGACAAAGAGTCAAGGTGGCGAGCCAACATACAACGTCGCTGTCGGCAGAGCTGGTAGAGTCTTGGTCTTTGTAATGGGAAAAGAAGGGGTCCATGGAGGCGGATTGAATAAGAAGGCATACTCAATGGCAAAATACTTGAGAGACTCTGGGTTCTAGCTGCTAGGCAGACTGTTAAGTATTAGGGGAAATTGCTCTTAAACTTTCCTAGCGGTAAGCTTAAGTCTTAATTCTGGAAATTTTATTAGCAATGCAGGGTGATGGGGTATGAACCTGTGTCTCCTGTGTATCCCTCTGTTGGTGGGGAAAGGTGTCTTTCTTTCTGCCCGCCCCTCCTTAAGTAATGCTGTTCACTTTTGTTTTGTTTCCCTGTGTACTCCAGCCTTGGTTATAGTCATGGGAAAGGAAGGTGTCCACAGAGGCACACTTAACAAGAAAGCCTATGAGCTCGCTTTCTATCTGAGGAGGTCTGATGTGTAAGCAGCCTCTCCCCATCTACCTAGCAGCTGTCTGCATCGCCACCCCAATTGTGGTCATCTGCTACCAGACTAGATAGATGGTAGCTAGTTTTCTTTACCTACTTTGTAATGTCATGGTTCCTATTTGCCCAATGATCATTTGTCTGTTAACCACTGTATGTAACCAACCCCTACTGGCAACATAATTGCAGCACAATAATGATTTGCATGATACCTTGAAATTGGGGGGAGGGGCATGCCAAGTTGGGCATCACTTTGTCTTAGCAATTAATGGGATATTGATTACTAAAATAAGTTAATATTAAGCAAGGTGCCGGTTGTACAATCTCTAATTTGATCGATGTCTTTTCAGCACTTTGAGCTTTACTTGGCTCACTTAGTCTTCCTTTTGTAGCGCATGGTTGGGAGGAGAAAGTGCATGCATCTCTCCTTCACTCCTCTTTTCTCTTGCCCTCCCTTTGCACATAAGGGATTTGGTTTGCTTCCATCCTCTTTTATGCAGTGCCTGGTTTATTTAACCAATTAATATCCCCTTTGTTGACGAGCTGTTGAGAGCTGCAATAGTTTGCTTTTAGTATTGTGGTTGCACTTGAGTAGACAGATCTCTTCACAGTGTCTGCAGGACATGTGCAGAGTGCAACTGCAAAACAAGAGCAAAAGGCACTCCTCCCACGACCTCACAGTAACCACACTGACGCACCCCCAGGGACATTCCATCACCGCAATAGCTCACATTGTTGTTCCTGTCTTTTTCTTTGCACACCAGCTCTACTTGTTTTAGTAAAACTGTAAAAGGCTGCCATTATGGACATTAGGTCTCCCAACATAACCATCTGGAGTGTGTCCAGTTTGTTCTTCATAGGACCAATTTTTATTTGCAACTTGAGTTTTTATATGAGGTTGCATTATTGTGGACTTGGCTGTCTTGTGATGAATTTTTTCATATGTATTCTGTGCCATACTATTGCTAAAATGAACTGTTGCTATTGTGAGATGGATTTTAACTGACCTATTAAGGGTTTCTTTCGAATGGCACTACTTTAGGGACATTCTAGTATTTGCTTCTATTGTTTGGGACTTGTGGATAATGTACAGATTTAAAACAAATCTTGTTGCTGATTTGTCCATTTCTTTCCCTGCACTTTGTTACATCTGGGATACAGTCTAACTCATCTGACTTAATATGCATTTAAAAAAATGCCATAACTATTAAACACCTTGTTTACAGACAGATGAAATAAATTTATTCCAACCAAAAAAAAAAAAGAATAGACAATATGATTGATGTATGTACATTCCATGTATGTATTATATGTCAAAATACATTCTGCTGTCATGTATGACTAAAAAAAAATAAAAATAAATTGTATGGTTTAAAAAAAAACAACAAAAACATTTCTTAAATACTTTAACAGGCAACTTTCTCAGCATGCTTTCAGGGCCATAGTTTATACTGGTGTTTCATTAACTCATCTCTGTGGAAAGTCCTGATACCCACAAAGCTAAAATAGGTTCACTTATTATTCTGATATCCTGACTGAACAATTCTTTCTGGAGTATCTTGGCTAAACACCACTGTTGAAACTCTCCTTTGTCAGGCCGTATCTTTTCACTCATACTCATTTTTTTAAAGAGTTTAAAAAATTTTTTCCTGATAAACTTAAAATTTTTTTTAGTTGTAAATGGACACAATACCTTTATTTAATTTTATTTATTTTTATGTGATGCTGAGGATCAAACCCAGTGCTTCACACATGCTAGGCACGCACTCTGACTGAGCCACAACCTGAGCTCACTCAAACTCACTTTTAAAATATACCTGCTGCTACCAGTTTGGGGTTTTGTATTTCAGTTTATTTTGGAATGATTTACTGGCATTGAATTATTCCACTTATATTTTTACATAACTATAATAGCATATTTTAAAATGACTATTATCAATACCCACACATAAGAGTGACTTTTACCAGTTTTATGGTGATAGGGTCATTTAACAGTTTACTCATCACAGTTGACAAGGTATCAAAAATAGCTTTATTAAATATAACAATATTATTAATTATCAACAGCAATTATAATGATGAATAGCTCCTCTACTAGTTATTGAGGATGTACTAGTTCTGAAGGCTTGTCTCTCAATTTCTGGTAGAGCAGCCAAACATTCTTTTTTAACGCCCTCAGCGTGGCATTTCTAATATTGAATTTAGAAAACCCCAAAACTACAGACCTGATTGATTTGAACAAGAATCTAGATGACATGTAGTAATTACTAGTGATAGAACAGCATTAGGGTTAAGAATATGAATTTTGAAGTTAGACTGCTGGGTTCCAAGTCCTTATACAGAAGTGAGTAGTTTTGGGTTGCCAGATTTAGCAAACTATGATAGCCAGTTAAATTTGAATTTCATTTAACAGAAATATTTAGTGTAAGTATGTCCCAAATATTGCATAAGATATACTAAAATTTTTAATTATCTTAATTTCAAATTTAACTGAGCATCCTGCATTTTATCTGGCAACCATTATTTAACCTCTGTAAACTTCAATTTTCTTATTAGTTGAATGGGGATAATAGTAGTACCAACTTGATAAGGTTGTTGTGAAGACTGACTTAAAATATGTAAAATACTGACTAATGGCCCTTAAATAGAACATCTCAATAAATGTTAACTACTGTTATTGTAATAGTTTTATGGTAGTGTTATAAATACTTACTGGAGGTTATTTTTGGAGCTTCTGCTATCAGCTATGATGATTAGCTGGTAAAAGACTGATTCTATTGCCACCAACAACAATTAAACTGGTCGAAATGCAT